GGGGGTCGGGCCCGCTGCTAGTCTCCCCCGCAGCCTGGAGAGCGCCGCCGCGCCAGGCCCCACCCGGCCCTATCTCCGCTCCGCGGGCCTCTAAGACTGCTCCCGGCCCTACGCTGCCTCTGCCGCCGCAACCAACCCGGAAGCGCGGCGCGGGGAGTCGCCAGTGCGCGGGCGCCGGAACACGTGGTCTGCGGGGGCGGGACCAGGGAGGGCGGGCCTTGCCGGGGCGGGGCGCGTGGAGAACTGCGCGCTGGCGCTCCCTGGGCGGGCCTGCCTGAATTGGTGTGGGAATGGCTTCGTAAGCCTGCAATGTGGGAAGTTTCCTATCGTGTTAGACCGTGGACTCACCGACACCTTTATCCATTTCGCTCTCCTTAAACGATACTTCCCGAATCTGGTATTAGGATCTCGAATGTGGGGACCAGCAGTTGGTGTAATGGCTATGTCGCTGGACTCCCATGTAGTTGACCGCGGTTCGAGTCTCCGACCTGGTGGCTTAAACTCATGCTGGGCGCATGTGTGTACGTGCCCAAGATCCCGAGAGGAGAATGGAGGAGAAGGGATTGCGACATGGCCATCCCCCTGGGGGGTGATTTCTCACTTTCTGTGTCTCTGTCTCTCTCTGTGGCGAGCTCACGCGCCCTATAACAAAAACCTCTCAAAAAAAAAGAAATAGTAAAAGATCTCGAATGTGTGAATGCATAAAATCGCTTTTCCCTTTGCCATCATCATCCAGTGCTGATGTATGAACGTTATTTATCTCCTAAAAGTTGTTCACATCCGCCTCTTCTCCCCACTTCCAAAGCCTTAGTCCAAGGGAGTGAAGAGCGCACTCTGACGGAGCTGGGTTCTGAGAAGTCTTGGGCAAGTTACTCCTTTTCCTCACCACCTTGGCTACCCCTCTCTGTATAAGGGAGACGTTAACACTAGTGCCAGCTTGGCGGGGTTGTTGTGGCATAAACGAGGTTAAGTATATGATGGACTTAAGTAAGTGCCTGGTTTAATTCATGTTTGCTGTTGTCAGGTTGTGATGCTCCCACTTCGTGCTTCCCCCTGGTAGCAAAAGAAGGAAGGACAAGGAAGCAAGAGGAGCACAAAGTTTATTGAAAGAGAAAATAGACATATTGCACAAACAGAAGGGCAGGGCAAAGGGAGGCAAGCAGGACCCAGGTGTATTGAAAGGTGAAGTTATGGTCCATAGACAGAGTGGATCAGTACAAAGGGTAATCTTTTCCCCCTGGGATCCCTTTTGTTGCCAAACTCAGGTTGGATTGCCCAAGCGCTACAAACCAAAGTGTGGGCACATGATGCGTTAAAGGAATGTACAGCTCTATTGTAATGCACAAAGCAAGAGCAGGGACAGCTCATAGTGAAACTACATGGTGGTCTCCCTTAGCTGTTCTCCATGTGAGGTTTTTTAATAAGTGTGTGTGTGTGTGTGTGTGTGTGTGTGTGTCCAAAGGACCCATGTGTTTGGCAGAGAAAGAGCCCAAGACAATGGGAGGAAAAGTGAGTAAATCACCCCCCACCCCCAGTAGGGATGATCATTTGGTAATCCTTTCTCCTCCATTCTTGTCCTGGCATCTTGGGCATGCACATGCACTCAGTGTGATTTTCAAGCCACCAGGTCCACAACTGGAACCTCCAATGTCCATGTGGGAGTCTAGAGCCTTAACCACCTAGTCACCTGCTGGCCCCTTTCATCATCTTTCTTCAATGACTTAAGAGTTTCTAACTTAGCTGCAGTGCTGTTTCATCCGATGCACAGGAGTGGGAGCTCTAAGTACAAATCAGATCCAGAAACTAGAGTCATTCCTTTGCTTAGACTCCATTGTGGAGGCTGGCAGGCAGCATGGGGATTAAGGCTCTGAACTCCTAGACGGCCAACTGCAGTTGAGTCCTGGACCTGGCAGCTTGCTTTCTCACTTACCTCTTTCTCTCTGGTCAAGTTAAAATAAATAAATAAACAAATTATATATATATACACACACACACATATATATATATATATATTAGACTCCAGGAGATGATCACGCCACAATCCCTTCTTCTCCATTATCAAGATTTTGGCACACACGCACATGTGCCCAGCATGAGTTTCAAGCCTCCAGGTCTGGGACTCAAACTGCAGTCAGACATGTGGGAATCCAGCAACACAACCATTATGCCATCTGCTGGTCCCAAATAATTCTCTCTTTTTTTTAATTTTTAAAGAATCCATTGTGGGGAACCAGCAGTTAGCATAATGGCTATGTCGCTGGACTCCCACGTAGTCAACTGTGGTTAGCGTCCCAGAACCGGTGACTTAAAACTCACGCCGGGCGCATGTGCGTATGTGCCCAGGATCCCGAGAGGAGAATGGAGGAGAAGGGATTGAGGCGTGACCATCCCCCCGGAGGGTGATTTCTCACTTTCTGTCTCTATGTCTCTCTCTGTTTGGCGAGCGCACGCGCCCTATAGCAAAAACCTCTCAAAAAAAAAAAAAAAGAATCCATTGTGGCTCCCACCTAACCTCTGGTCAAAGTCTATACTTCTTAATGTGGTCTACAAGCCCCACCCAAATCCTCTCCCCACCTACTTCCAACCATTTTTTTCAGCATTTTCTCTCAAATTATGCTTCACCAATACCCATTTCTTTGTAAACGCACAGAACAACATAGAAGGAAAAGCACTTGTAGAAACTGGAAGCCAGATCAGCCGTGCTGCCGCACACTCACCACCCAATCGCTTGTAATTTATTTTCCCCCACTTTCAGATCTCCAACATACCATCGATAGCCTTCATGACTTTTTAAACCAGTTTTCTTTTATGAGAGAGATAAGAGAAGGGAGAGAGACAGTGACAGGCATTTTTGACAGGGTCTTACTGTATTGTGACCCTTCTGCTAGGGACCTCCTGGTTAGCTAGGCTTACAGGGACTCTGGGTATGTTCAGGCTGCCCTGAGAATTCTCTGTGATTTGGAAAGTGCAGGTATAACCATCAGCCTGGCTCTTGGATTTGCACTAGTTTTTATCAAAAGTAATTCAAATGACACATGCCTCTCCCCTGAAGTCTCCCTTTCATACTAAATCCCTCTAAATCCCCTGATTTTGTGGGAGTCCAACTGGGATGGGAATAGGGGTATCTGCCTGACTTCTGTGTGCCAGTAGGAAGAACAGTCAATCCTGGACTTGACTGCTCCATTGTTCGTGCGCCCGCAAGAGCTGCAGTGAGGGAATCAGCAGTTAGCGTAATGGCTATGTCGCTGGACTCCCACGTAGTTGACCGTGGTTTGTGTCCTGGACCCGGTGGCTTAAAACTCACGCCAGGCGCATGTGCGTGCGTGCCCAAGATCCCGAGAGGAGAATGGAGGAGAAGGGATTGCAGCGTAGCCATCCCCCCTGGGGGGTGATTTCTCACTTTCTGTCTTTCTGTCTCTGTCTGTCTGGCAAACGCACGTGCCCTATAGCAAAAACCTCTCAAAAGAATTGCAGTGAAAAGGGTCCTCCTCAGATCTCAGCAGCTGGAGACGACTCAGTGCCCACAGCAGCCAGGGCCTCCTGCTCCCTCATTCAGGCTTTGCTCACCGGAGCACAAACTGAAGGAAGCCAAGGTTGGAAGGTCTTCCAGCATCTGCTACGCACAGCAGAGACTAGCTCTTTCTTTGGGGCAGCTTTGTTTAGGATCCATGTTGCCTTTTCTTGAAACTATTTTTTTTTTTTAAGTTTTTTTCCTTTACAGTGGACATACCTGCCAGGAAGAGATAGTGAGAGGGAAAGTGAGAAATCACCCCTCAGAGGGGATGACTGCGCTGTAGTCCCTTTTCCTCCTGGGATTTGGGGCACGCATGCACACACACCCGGTGTGAGTTTTAAGCCACCGGGTCCGGGACGCAAACAGCGGTTGACTATGTGGGAGTCCAGGGACATAGCCATTATGCTAACTGCTGGTCCCCAGAGGCAGATATCTTTGACAAGGTCTTATATGCAATCCTCTTGCCCCAAACCTTCTAATTAGCTAGGACTAGAGGTGCCCACCACCATGTCTAACCTGTTTAAAATGGAGGAGAAGGAATTGCAATGTAGCCATCTCTCTTTTTTTTTTTTGAGACTTTTTTTTTTTTTTTTTTTTTATGGCATTGGCCTTCACCATAAACAAACGCATATGGCATGTGCGCTCACCAGACAGACAGAGAGAGACAGAGAGACAGAAAGTGAGAAATCACCCCCCAGGGGGGATGGCCACGCTGCAATCCCTTCTCCTCCATTCTCCTCCTGGGATCTTGGGCATGCACGCACACGCTCCTGGCGTGAGTTTAAGCCGCCGGGTCCGGGACTTGAACCAGGGTCGACCATGTGGGAGTCCAGCGACATAGCCATTACACTAACTGCTGGTCCCAATGTAGCCATCTCTTGGGGGGTGATTTCTCACTTTCCCTGTCTCTCTCTCTGGTGAATGCAGGAACCAAACCTGAGCCACCCGTGTGGCCTCAGTCACCATACTATGGCTCCCTCTGGCCTGTGCCTCCACATCTGGACCTGGCATACTCATTGATAGAGTTCATATAAGACTTTCTAGATTCCATCCTTAAAACTCGACAAGATTTCTATGACAAAATAATATATAAAGCATGTTTTAGTGAATATTTAAGGAAAAGAAGTGGCCAGTTATTGCAAAATTTATTTATTTTGTTCAGAAAATTATAATGTCTCAGGTTCACAGAGTTTACAAATGATTCCATATGTAAAAAGTATAACTAATATTTGTTTTATTTACATCAGCATTAAATTTGTTTCTTGAAGCTTTCTAACATTTAATGAGCAATTTTCTTCAGGAAAGGTATATTTTTCTGCTGCAAATGTTAAAAAGAAAAACAAATGTACGATAGGAAACAAGTTACTTAAATTGTCTAAATGGAATTTTAAGTGGAATGTCTATTTTATTAAAGTAGGGAAGCTTCGGCAAAGAGCAATAAACTTTAAAGCTGTATTGAAACTTAGACTTACAGAAGAGCACTCCCTTTTAGCTGGCAGACCTTGGAGTCCCATTTGGAACTGCCAGTCCCTCTGTTATTCAGATGGACAAAGAACTTCGGAGGGCGCTCGATTTTCAATCTATTTCTCTGGATTTCCCTCTATCACTTTGTGAGAACTCTTGAGATTCAGGCTGCACTTACCTAATCAAATTAGCCATTAATAGGGTCTATATCTCTGAGTGAGAGAAAACTCTGTAACTTATAATCAAAATCAATGGCTCTAAACTGAGGTTCTTGGTATTTTCTGGTCATCTTGGCACCCAGGTATGTTATCAGTTCACATCTCTCCACAAACTGATCCATCTTCTTCTTATACTTTTTTCGTGTATATTCGGAACCTTTGGGATTAAATGCTGTGGAGAATGTCACAGAACTGTGAGTGTTTTCGGTTAGATTCACGATTCAAATGAGAGAAAGAACTGGGTATGAGATTAAGCTGGCTAGGGCTGAGAAGATACATCCTCAGTGAGATTGGAGATTATTCTATTGTAGGTCATAATTGCTTATATTTGCCTTTTTCTGTGGCATGAATTTTTGAGAGTTAGCTACAATACTCATAGTCCCTAGTTCTAAAAGTAGAATTTGGTTTTGATATTTTTGTTAAACTATTTACCCTGAATTGTATTCGCTACCAACTCTCTCTCTCTCTCTCTCTCTCTCTCTCTCTCTCAGCGAGTGACCGACACAGTTTAACAATTCTATTTAGGACACATACTAGAATTAATGTTAAGTTCGTCTGAGAAATATACCATTAACAAAGACGTACCTTTTAGATGCAATGCTATGTATAGCAGTGCAGACTTCCTTACGCTTAAGAAGGGGAATTTGGGCTTTAAGCATCCTGCTGCATTCATTGCTTTAATCAGAGAAGTGGCGATACCCTGCAGGCAGAGAACAATTTAAGTCAAGTCTTTTTTTTTTTTTTTTTTTTTTATGGGGGGTGAAGTAGAGATATTTTTGCTATAGAGAGAAACAGAGAGACAGAAAGCAAGAAATCACCCCCCAGAGGGTGGTCACACCACAATCCCTTCTTCTCCATCCTCCTCTCAGGATTTTGGCCATGAATACACACCAGACCAGCATGAGTTTAAGCCACTGGGCCCAGGACTCAAACCGTGGTTGATTACGTGTGAGTCCAGAGACATAACCATTGGGTGGTCTGTAAAGTTGTGACACATTTTTGCATAGAAAGACAGAAAAATGCATGACTTTCTCAACAACCTAATAAAGAGTCTTATTCCTTGGCTCAACCCAAACACGGTGGCTTGAAAATCATGCCAGGTGCATGTGCCTGCATGCCTCAAATCCCAAGAGGAAAATGGAGAAGAGATTGCAATGTGGTCATCCCTTCTGGAAAGTGATTTCTCATTTTGCCTGTCTCTCTCTCTCTCTCAGACTAGCGCACATGCCTTACTGCAAAAACAAAAACAAAAAACAAACAAAAAAAGTCTCCTAAGATTAGAGATGGGGTTTATAAAGATGATTAGATAACCACTCACAACATGAAAGAATCACAAATTAATATTTGATTTGGAAAAAAATTGGCTTAGTGCCAGCTGGGTGATAAATGCACACATGGGCTTCATTACACAATTGTACTTTGACACGTTTGACATTTTTTGTAATAGAATGTTTAAAAAGAAAGAAAAGGATAATGAGTTTTGAGTTGTCTTGGCCCATATCTGCTTCCATTCTCAGAACTAGCCAGATTGCCAAGGACCTTTGGCCACCTGATAAGGAATTCCAGGGTCCGCAGTTATCACAATTACCACAGTCATCACGGTTAAGATTCTGCAGCCCAGCACACAGCGATAACATGCAGCCTAATTTATGAGACTCAGCCTCTCCTGGTGAGCCTCAGCTGGCATTTGATGTGAAACCAGACCCAAGGCTAACCTTCTAAGGCAAGTTGGAAACAAAACAAAGTGGTAAGAATTTGTGACAGGGGCCCCAGGTGGCATGATGGTTAAGGTACTGGATTCCCACAGAGCTGGCTGCGTTGGAGTCCCAGACTGGATGGTTTAAAATTGCGTAGGTGTGTGTAGGTGCATACCCAAAATCCCAGGAAGGAATGAAGGAGAAGAGATTGCAGCATGACCATTCTCCTTGGGCAGAACGAGTTCTCACTTTCCCTCTCACTGTCTCTCTCTCTCTCTCTCCCTCCGGAGTACACAGGCTAAATAAATAAATAAAAGAATTTGTGACAAAGGTGTAAAATTGTGCTCTAGGTCTTTACTTTGTCAAAATGGGAGGTAGGGAAACTTTAAAAATAGCCGTTAGCTAATGATAAGTTTGACTATGTGTAAAGACAGTTATATTTAGATAGACAAAACATGACTAGAGTGGATAGCTTCCTCTGGATTTGGGGCAAAGTTTGAACTTCGTTGTTCTGTTGTCTCAGCACCGCAGCCCAACGCAAGTAGTGAAAGAAACCTCTTAGAGATGGGATCTGCACGTTTCAAATTACAAGGAAGTTTTACAGACACCGAAACCAAAAATAAGAAGCTAACTCCATATCTAAGTCAAAGGTAAATCATTGTATTATGATTTACTCTCTCTTCACCTGTAGATATTTAGGAATAAGTTATGGAACTAGCTATTAGCTATTTTCACACATTTATTACAATGACTGCCCATTAGCAAAACAGGCTGAGTGTAAATTTGCAACTTAAATTCTGCCTTGCATTTCATTGTTACCAAAATGAACATTACTTTTATAAAAAGATCATTGTTCTCTTCTAATGTATATCACAGGAAAAAATAATCATATCACAGTACCTGTTCCAGATATCCGGGCAAAGGCAGGCTCGTGAGAAATATTGGTTCCTTTAACGGGGGAAGTTTGTGTGGAAGCTTCTGATCCCAGTATTTCAGCGGTGACCTAGGAACACAGAGTTCACTGGAGGGATGCTCACAGACACGGTCATCGTGTGTGTGTATTGTAGACATGCAAGATACCATTAAAAGAGAAAGTTCAACTACTCGTTTTTCACCATTGGTGACATTTACATGAGCAGGAAGTTCATAGCCACCCACTTCAGCTGGGTCCCCAGCCCTCTAATGTAATCTCAGTTTTCCATATCAAACTTTCTTTATGTCCTAGAACTTCTAATTCTTTAAGTACCCGCTGCACCTGCTAGGCAGATGCCATGCTGTATGCAGAGAAGCCATCAGGTTGAACTTCCCTGTTCCAGAAGCAGAGCCACACATGGTACCTCTTATCTAGACCAGTCCCCACCACACTTTGGATCCCCCCTGAACCCTCTCTCTCAGTATCTGACTACAGCAATGTCACTCTCTTTTTTTCCTCTTATCTTTGGCATTTCTTTCTTTTTTTGGATCCTTCCCATGCATCTGCATTTAAGCAAGCTCATAATTCTCCCATAAAAGAAAAAGAAAACCTGCTTCTACTCCTTCAACCGTCTATCTCTTCCAGCAACTAACATCTCTTTTTAACATTGAAACTTCTTTGAACAATGAACTTCATAGTGATCCCAGCTACTGCCCTTCTATCTGTAGTTGTGATTGGATTCACGTGGTATTTTATTTTTAAATTCCAATTAGTCACTAATGTTTACAAATCAGAAAAATTTATAAAGGAATGTGGTTTCCAATGACTTGTGAAGAACAGAAATTTCCATCCGCTTGATCTCTAGGCATCTGCTGGCCAACCTCTCCCAGAGACTTTCTCCACATCCTGCCTCTCCTTTCACCTCTCCGTGGTTCTTCTCTTTCAGTTTTCCTTGTAGAATCTCTTGACACTTGTGTGTTGGTGCTTCTGATCCCAATGTTTCAGTGGAAAATTTTGCTTTGTTCCAAACCCACTGCTTCCCCCACATTACTCTTCATAGGTGAGCTCAAAATACTGCATTATTTTGGACAGGATTACTCTAACAGCCTTCCTGCCTCTGATCAACAGTCCAATGAGGTTTTGCTCCAGAGTAGATTTGATTATAACACTGACCTAACTTAAAACTAGGCACTGTACTTGTATTGTCTTTGGGTTCAAGCCCAGACAATCTGTGGTGGTTTTCCTTGACCTTCCACACTTTGCCTGCTCCCTACCTCCAGCCCCACCTTTTGCTCTTCTCTGTATCACATCCAGCCATGTTGAATTGTTCGCAGTTCAGTGATTCTCTGGGCCAGGTTTGTTTGTAGGTCCCTCTGCTGGGAAGAATGTCTTCCTTTCCCTTTATCCAGCCAATTCCCACTCCTCATTGAGGACTACCCCAACAGACAATTCAGCCAGACCTTTGGACTGTAGTTTCTCAGAACTCCAGGTATTTTCCCATCCTAAATTCCATCCCATTCTGTTGTTATCAGATACTGAAAGTCGATCTTACCCTGGACCTCAGGCAGGAAGCAATCCTTCTCTACCATCATATACACCACATGTATACATGTGCATGTGAGTGTGCGCACACACACACCTCCCTTTCCCAGTTCCCAGCATGTTGCATGGAACACAGGAGATATTCAATACATATCTGTGGAGTCAAGTGGTGGTACAATGGTAATGCAATGGGGCCCACATGGGAAAGGCCCTGAGTTCACATCCCAGGACCTCCCTGAGCACACTGGTATGTTTTCCATGTACCCGTGATCCAGACTGGTTGAGAGTGTGGGAATCATGGCATGAGGGCCCTGTTGGGGGCGCCTGTCTCTCTCTGGACTAAATAAATCTATAAATAACATTTAAAAATTCAATATATATTCATGACTTAGTGAATGATCTCACCTCAAAAACTTCTGGAGTTTTTGTTTACTTTCACAAATATATATTCGATCACGATATTCTACAGCATAGTTAATGCTACCAGGTACTAGGGCTTCATATCTGAAAGACAAAGCAAAACAAACCCTGTTAAATAATTAATATGCAGTATTTTAAATAAAACATCAAAATGTTTATTTATCTACCTATGCAACTCAAGGAAGAAACATTTTTCCAGTTAAGCAATAGTGACCTTATGAAGTTTGAAATGTTAAGATTGTTTTAGAAACCACTTATTCTGTTAAAAAAAATAATTATTTATTTGGGACCAGCAGATGGAATAATGGTTACATAGCTGGACTCCAATGTAGTCGACCACAGTTCGAGTTCCAGACCCGGTGGCTTAAAACTCACACCAGGCGCATGTGCATGTGTGTCCAAAACCCCAAAAGGATAATGGAAGAGAGGGGACTGCAGTGTGGATATCCACCCTGAGGGGGGTGATTTCTCATTTTCTGTGTCTCTGTCTGTGTCTGTCTCTCTGGTAAGCACACATGCCCAATAGCAAAAATTTCTCTAAAAAATTATTTATTTTAAATTATTTATTTAATTTCACTTATTTATTATTATTAACTTGCCATAGAGCGTGTGCATGCACCAGAGAGAGATGAAGGAAAAAGAGAGAGAAAGTGAGAAAGCAAGCTGTCAGGTCCAGGACTTGAATCGTGGCTGGCCCTGTGGGCGTCTAGTGCCTTAACCACCATGCCACCCACTGATCCCAGAAACCACTTATTCTGAGTATAGACTTTGCTGTGTATGCCAGGAGAGTGAGAACTTGCCTTTGTTTTCCATCCTGGTAGGTCACTGGACAGTAGCCCTGGAGCTCAGCACACTTGGGAAATCGACTCTTCAGCTCTGACAGCGTCAGCCTTTTGGGGATCATGTCAGCAGATGGGAGTGGATTAGGTGCTAAGGGAGGCACATACAATTCCGGGTTCTCCAAGAATTTCTATTAAAAAAGGATTGCAGTGGCAAGAGCATTTAAAACAGGAATATTCTCCTAATCAAACACCTATGGAGGCTCTTGTACTTCTTTCCCCATTTTCAGTAGCTGTGTGTGTTCTTCAAACTGTCTGAGAGCCTCTCCCTGTATTATAATTTCTCCTCAAATAGAAAGTTTTTTGTATGAGAGAGTCTTCAAAAAGTTTGCGGAAAATGTGTATTTTGAAAAAACTATGCACAGGTTTTAAAATATTTTGGAGAAGTTTTTGCTATAGGGCGTGTGCGCTCTCCAGAAAGACAGAGAGATGGAGAGAGAGAAAGCAAGAAATCACCCCCCAGGGGGGATGGCCACACCACAATTCCTTCTCCTCCATTCTCCTCTTGGGATCTTGGGCACGCACGCACACACACCTGGCATGAGTTCAAGCCACCAGGTCCAGGACTTGAACTGTGGTTGACTACATGGGAGTCCAGTGACATAGCCATTATGCCAACTGCTGGTCCCAATTTCAGAAATTTTTGCACTAAAGTAAACTTGTATTTTAATTCCATTTTCCATGAACATTTTGAAGTCCCTTCATAGTAATGCTCCCAAAGGATCATATCGAATGCATCTCTGAATCTCAGGCCTTTATTCATTCACTGCTACACACACATCCATTCCTACTAAGACAGTTGCTAAGCACTGGCCACGTGACAGGCACTGGAGAGTGCGAAGTCACCTTCTGGCCTGTCTTCCTGTCCTGCCAGTACCTTTCACCAGCGGGGTGCCCTTTGGCAGGTGAGTTAACTTCTCCAGCTTCAGTTACGAACTGTAAAAAGGAAGACTGAACCAGCTTCAAGACCTCTAATGTCACTTCTAGTTTTGAAATTCTGTGATTACCATTTAAATAAGCAGGATGAAATAAATGTCTCCTTTATAAAGAGATTAAAACATCCTAATTCGGACCAGCAGTTAGTGTAATGGCTATGTTGCTGGACTCCCACGTAGTCAACCGCGGTTCAAGTCCTGGACCCGGTGGCTTAAACTCACGCCGGGCGCGTGTGCGTGCATGCCCAAGATACCGAGAGGAGAAGGGATTGCGGCGTGGCCATCCCTCCTGGGGGGTGATTTCTCACTTTCTGTCTGTTTCTCTCTGTCTTTCTGGTGAGCGCACGTGCCCTATAGCAAAAACCTCTCAAAAAAAAAAATAAAAAATCCTAATTCTTGGGATCAGTAGCTGGCGTAATGGCTATGTCGTTGGACTCCCACGTAGTCAACCGCGGTTCAAGTCCTGGACCCGGTGGCTTAAACTCACGCCGGGCGCGTGTGCGTGCATGCCCAAGATACCGAGAGGAGAAGGGATTGCGGTGTGGCCTTCCCCTCTGGAGGGAGTTGATTTCTTGTTTTCTGTCTTTCTGTCTGTCTCTGTCTTTCTGGCTAGTGTACATGCCCTATAGCAAAAACCTCTCCAAAAAAAAATCCTGATTCTCACAGGAAAAGACACTGTTCAGAGACATTGCATTCATTTTCATTTTTGCTCTCAACTCCTGGCCTTTTTATGTCATCAAATGAAGGACATTATAATAACAGAACAAATATGCATTCTGTTCCATTAAACTGACATCCAAAGCATATGGGGAATTCTAGTGCTATAAGAAACAAAGCACAGAAGGAGACCTGTGTCAGCCTTTGTCTCCTTTCTATTGACTTTGACCTCCCTGCTTAGCCCCAGGGACTGACTCTCCCAATACCGGCCTGTGGCTGTACCTTTGGTGCTCAGAGCCCAGCCAGGCGCACTGCTGGCTCCCTGGCCTGCTGCCTACTGTGCTGACCCAGGCCGCAGCCCAGCCCTGATGCTAGACTACTGCTTTGTTTCAGAATATGTCCTGGGATGCAGTCTTAAGACTGACCTCTGAGTTGCCTCGCTGGCTCTTGAGCCATGGATTCCAATAATGGGTTTCCTAGTCCCAAGTTTCTGGGTGTCCTCAGCCACACCCACCCCTTCGTACATGTTCAATTACATTTTAAGGCATTTTCTTTCCTTAGTAAATATTTGCAGTTAGCTGAACACTTACGTTCAGTTTTTCTTGAGAATACATTTTGTAATAGTGTCCCCTGAACTCTGCTGCAAATTCCAAGGAGTCAGTTCCAGAGCAATCAAATAATTCATTGGTTTCTGCCAGGCTCACAGGGCAGTACTGTCCAAATTCTCCCAGGCGAGAAATCAGCTCTTGAGGCGTGATACATAGCATGTCAATGCGGGCGGCCTTTCCTATTAGTTACATATTAATGAGCATTATATGCACATTTTTTTCATAGAAAACACAATGATTTTAAAAATAAAAATAATTTCAATTACACGGCACTATACAAATACATTTGCCAAACAATACAGTAGAAGTAAGTGTTACCATTCATATCTCTGTTCTCTCAGTCCGATGTCCCCCCTGAGAAGTAATCACTGTTAGTTTTGTAGCTTTTTTCAGTCTTTAAAAACAATTAATTAATCAATTAATATTCTTATTTTAATTTGCTATAGGGATCATGTGCTTACCAGAGAGAGACAGAGAGAGAGAGAGAGAGAAAGTGAGAAGGTAAGCTGCCAGGAACAGGACTTGAAATGCAGTCAGCCATGTGGGAGTCCAGGGCATTAACCACCAAGCCACCTGCTGGCCCTTCAGTCTTTATTGGCATACCTACCTTCTTTTTCTGAATAGTATGCTTATGCCCCTATACTATAAACATTCTACAGATTGTTCTTATCAGTTAGTTATGGTTTTTGACATCTGTCCATATCAGTTTATATGATTCACCTAATTCTTTTGAATTGATACATAGTATTCTACAGTATAAATATACATTTAGTTTACTTAATCACTTATTTATTGATAAATGTTGTGGTTGTCTTAGTTCTTAACTATTATACACACACACACTTTATAAATATTTATATATACACACAATTTATATATGTGTATGACTGGGTATGTACATATACTATGAGGACATGTATCCATATATACACTTAGACATATATACATACCCATTCACACACACACATATATAAATTTTCCATGTATTTCAAAAGTCTCTATGGAGTGGATTACAGATTTTCAGAAGTGCAAATACTTTGTTGACATGATGTTACTGACCCAAAACTTCCCTGTGCCTAGATGCTACCCGAGAGAAGGGAAAACACATTTATCTAAAGGTGACTGGTTTTACCCTAAAGAGTTTATTTTTTAAAAATAGAGCCAAGGTTTCTTTTCTTTTCTTCTTTTTTTTTTTTGGAGAGGTTTATGCTATAGGGCGCGTGCGCTCACCAGAAAGACAGAATCATCCCCCGGAGGGATGGCCACACTGCAATCCCTTCTCCTCCATTCTCCTCTCAGGATCTCGGTCACACACACACACACACACACACACACACACACACGACCCAAAACTTCCCTGTGCCTAGATGCTACCCGAGAGAAGGGAAAACACATTTATCTAAAGGTGACTGGTTTTACCCTAAAGAGTTTATTTTTTAAAAATAGAGCCAAGGTTTCTTTTCTTTTCTTCTTTTTTTTTTTTGGAGAGGTTTATGCTATAGGGCGCGTGCGCTCACCAGAAAGACAGAATCATCCCCCGGAGGGATGGCCACACTGCAATCCCTTCTCCTCCATTCTCCTCTCAGGATCTCGGTCACACACACACACACACACACACACACACACACGGGCACGTGTGCCCAGTGTGAGCTTAAGCCACTGGGTCTGGGACTTGAACCACAGTCGACTACATGGGAGTCCAGTGATGTAGCCATTACACTATCTGCTGGTCCCAAGAGCCAAAGTTTCTTTACTGGACAAGTTTAAGAGTTTTTTCCCCCTAATACTCTGCTACGATTGGGACCCCAAAGCAATAGGATATTTTATAGAAAATAAAATTACTGCTTAACATGTTCTAATTATAATGAATAAATTTTGATCTTTGATCTCAAGATGTTAATGGCCCTTTAACCAGAGAAAAGTTGAAACTTTTTTTTCCCTGAATTATGCCTACTAAAGCTATAAAACTATGAAGCATACACAAATCATAGTTTGACTTGTTTGTTAGCTCATCGAGATGAACTATTACAGATCTACAATCCTTTATTTAAAACCCTCATGACTGCATATATTGGATAATTCAGAATATTTTAGATTTTATTAATATATCACATGCTTGCAGGGTCTGGGGTAACTCTTCATAACCTATAGCATTAGGTTTTTCCAACCAGGCCAGTCATGGTGGTACAAGTGGGAGGCACTGCTCTGTGTGACTGAGACTGCATGGGGGACCCAGGTTCAGTTCCTGGCCCAGCCTGAATAGACCAGGTGTGCTGGCGCATGCCTGTAGTCCTAGTTAACCAGGAGGCGGCCGTGGAAGGATCTTGACATGGAAGGATCCTATCCAGGAGCGATCTCTCTCTTCTTTCTTTCACTTTTTCTCTCAAAAACCATTTCTTTTCTTTGTAAAATGACTTTTCCGTGTTAACTGGGGCACATAAAGACTATAAATAGCCACATGTCAGCTCACATTAGGTTTGCCTGCAAATAACTTGAGAATAAACTTGAGGTTTTGAGAGTCTGGGGATTTTTGGAGTCACAGGCTAGGGATGTGAACCCGTGTCATGTCACATTATTGACTCACTGATATGCCTGCCTTTACGTGGGAGGAGTTTGTGGGGGTCCAGGTGAGGAGGTCCTCTGATCCTAACCACTAATCCCATCGCCCAAAAAAGCCAGACCTAATTCTTCTTGTTTTGTTTTGATAAATTGTAAATGTATTATTATACATTTAATTGCGATACATCCTTTAGCTTGTAAAGAGAATTTACTCAACACAAAATACACCTCAGACCAGTCCAGTTGAGACTATTATACACGTTTTCATCAACTGGTAATAAACCATTTCCGTGTCCCACAAATGTCTCACCTCTCCACTTTTTTTTCTCCCTAATTTCCTTCCCTTTACTCTTGTCAGACCTAATTCTGACAAGGAGATGGTTGGGAAAGCCATGCCCAAAGAGGGGTCTGTCATGCAATCCTCCACAATTCTGCTCTTTTAAGCAGGAAGTTGGGTAGAGGGAAGGGACATGCATGAGACAAAGGGGTCTGTAACAACGACGGGCACTTCAAGCCTTAACTTTTGGTTGTCATCCTCCATTCACCTCCTAAAAGCAAAGAATCATCGGTGTGGTGGTGGCACTATTCCCACAAGGGCTCCGGGAGGTAAGCGGATGGAGTGAAATGTTTTCCAAAGGGCAATATCTAAGCTCAGTAGTTAGCAAAGGTCAATTGGAAACTCTGACTCTACTTCTCAGTCCCACTAGAAAGGACACCAGGTGTGAACCCTGGCCATATCATTGGGTTCCCGTCTTCCCTGAAGAGTTCAGTGTTGGCTAGACAGAATCTCCCGAATGTCTTTGTGCTTTCACAGAATTAAGAGAAGTTTTTCCAGGGCAGCTTTCCTTGCCAAAGCAAAAGGATTTTGAAAGTTGCCAAATCTCATCACATAAAGTTCCTCAAAAAAATTTTTTTGTTAAATTTTATTTATTTATCTATTTATTCATTCTGATTTTTCTAAGCCACTAGGTCTGGGACTCAACCACGTTCAGTCATGTGGGAATCCAGCACCTTAACCACCACACCACCTGGTGCACTCCCATTTTTAATTTTTTTATTTTTTGCCATAGGGCATGTGTGCTTGCGGGAGAGAGACAGAGAGGGAAGGTGAGACTGTGGTGTGACCAGGCCCTGTTGGGGGGGTACTTTCTCTCTTTTTAACTCTCTCTCTCTCTCGTGCACACACATGCAGTTTGGCATTAAAAATAAAAACGAACAAACAAACCCCTTCGATTTTCCATTGCCTTACACCGTTGCCTTCATGCCTTGTAATTCTCATGTGAAAATAAATTCCCAGTCTGTACACAAACTGGAACTAGAGATACTGTTTATGTCCAGATAATGAAGCAAATCAGGATAGAATTTTACAGTTGTTACCAAAACCCTCACTGCATTTTTCCTTGTACAAGATTCTCTTGGTCACAGCACTCCCACCTATCTTATATCTTCTCTGTACTTCCCAAAGTTAAACGAAATCATTAGTCACATTTCTGTGAGATCCTTACAGATAACTTCATTGGAGTCATCACTCTTTTTAGAGATGTCTAATGTACATAAGTGTTCTTCGATTTTGTGCATTTTTTTCAGAGAGATTTTTGCTATAGGGTGCATGGGGTCACTGGAGAGACAGAGACAGACAGGGAGACAGAAATCGAGAAATCACCCTCCAGGTGAATGGCCACACTGCAATCCCATCTACTCCATTCTCCACTCAGGATTTTGGGCATGCATTCATACACACCCGGTGTGAGTTTTAAGTGGCCAGGTCTGGGGTGTGAACTGCAGTTGACTACGTAGGAGTCCAGCAATGTAACTGCTACACCATTGCTGGTCTTAGTATTTTGTGCATTTTTGGAGAAAAGTTAAAAACTGTTTAATAGTAATATATAATCAAACATTTTCTTCCATAGATTCCAAATATAAGTAAAAGACATTTTAATGTTCTAGTTTTTTAAAAATAGACCTGGCATTTGATAGAAAGTGGACAAATAGGGACGATCTAATGCTAAGTAAAGTAAGCCAGAATATGAAAGAGAAACAGTGTATGTTTCCTCTTAAATATACCACATGTCTGCACTCCACGGCAGAAACCGCAAGATTGGCAGGTATAAAAACATGGAGAGCAGCTGTGGACACTAGAGATCGTGTGAGAGGGCGAGGGACAAGGGGGCCAGGAGGGAGGAGACCCAGGGGGAGAAAAGAAAAAGAAAAACCATAGTGTATGCTGTAAATACGTACAATGATTAAATGTAAATAAATCATAAGAAAAACTAGAGTCAACATTTATATCATATTATAATGACTGTAACTTGTAAAAATAATTTTAATTCCAGATTTCTAAATAAAATTTCTCCAAGTGTTGGGCCAGCAGGTGGTGTGGTGGTTTTAGAGTGCTGGATTCCCACGTAATCTACTGCAGTTTGAGTTCCAGACCTAGTGGCTTGAAAATCACAACAAATAAATAGATAAATAAATACATAAATGCTTAAAAATAAAGGGAATGATACTTAAAAAAATTATTTTTCTGGGGGCCAGCCTGTGGCATGGTGGTTGAGGGTGCTGGACTCCCACATGGCTGACCACGGTTCAAGTCCAGGACCTGCAAGCTTGCTTTCTCGCTGTCTCTCTCTTTCTCTGTCCCTCTCTGATCAAATTAAAATAAATAAATAAATAAAATTAAAAAATGTTTTTCCAAGTGTCACTCTACAGACCACTGCTCTCTTACAATTACTCCAAGCATTCTTGAAAATATATTCTTATGTAAAATTCCAAACATTATAGGCCTGCAGGTGGTGTAAGGTTAAAATAAATGCTGGATCTCACGTGGCCAACTGCCCAGTTTGAGTTCCAAACCTGGCAGCTTGAAAATCTTGTTGGGCATGTGGGCATGCATGCCCCAAATCCTATGGAGATGGGAGGAGAAAGGACTGTGGCATGACCATCCCCTCTAAGGTTTGATTTCTCATTCCTCCCCACCTGCCCCCCAGCCCCAGGGTGAGTGTATGTACCCAATAGCAAAACTTAAAAAAAAAAAATTCAAACAGTATAAAAGCTTTTACTGAAAAACTGTGCATTATTTTTATGTCCGAGGTTCACACAGCATTCAATAAATGACAGCTTGAGTAGGGACAGTCATTAATAAGAACTAACATACATGCCTACATGTCTTAGTGTGTGTGTGCTGCTGTAAGAAAATATCTAGACTGGATCATTTCTAAATACTGTCAAAAATTTATTGCTCATGGTTCTGGAGGCTGAGAAGTCTAAGATCAAGGTGGCAGCAGATTTGGAATATGCTGAGGGCTTGTCCCTCCTATGCGGTATTTTCTTGCTGCATCCTCACATGGCGGAGAGGCAAACGGGCTCCTTAAAGCTTCTCTTATGAGGGAACTAATCCCTTTTGCGAGAACAGAACTCGCATGATTAATCATCTCCCAAAGATCCTGCTTCATAATACCGTCGCATTGGGCATTTGGTTTCAACATTTGAATTTTGGAATGGGGGCACATACATTCAGACCACAGCACTGAAAGAACGGGATAGTCCATATACCTACTATATTGATAATAATAGGACAAATGTTCCAGTGGAATGAATGATGGTAACATGAGCCAGGCTTGTTTAGAATATAAATTCCTATTTTACTCTACTTTAAAATGTTTTCTTACCTGCTTTTATTCTTTCCAGGTATGTCTGCATATATTTATTTATCATTTGAATGTTCTTCATGACTTCATTCCAGACCCACCATTTGCTGTGAAATCCATCAATCACATACCAGTTCTGATGCTGTTCTTGATAATATTTCCTAATATCGCCAATATTTTTGTGATACTTTGCATTCTTGACAGCTACAATCTGTGCACTATTGTGCAATGGGTAAGGCAAACTATAGAGAAACAGAGAAGGGATGGAAAAGGCTGTTAAAACATGGTGATATTCCTCTGTGATTGAAGTTGGTTCTTTTATCACTGTTTTCATCATGTACTTTACCTTTGTTCACTTTTTTCCAGAAGCAATCTTTTGAAAGTCTCTTTGGAAGGCACATCCAACTCAAAGATGATCATGGGAATGATTGATCTGGCTTCCAAGAGATTCATTTGAAGAGTTGTTACAGGATATCCATCGATGACAACACTAATACGAAATATATAAAATGTAAAAATGTCACATTTCTTTTCTCTCAAACTTCCTTTTTTTTTTCTTTTGCCGAAGTCACCAGAGACAGAGACACAGAGAGATAGAGGGGAAAGTGAGAGAGCACTGCTCAGGGGGATGGCCATGCCACAGTCTCTTCTCCTCCACTCTCCTTTCAGGATTTTGGGCATGCATGCACATGTGCCTGGCATGTCTTCAAACTTCCGGATTTGGGACCCAAACCACAGTCGGCCATAACCACCACCCCCCTTCTGTCTTTTTAAGGACAATCACATACTTTTTCTTATGTATCTTGATTTATCTTCTGTAAACTTCACCCTTTCATCTCTACTTGTTTAACCTCAGTAAGCCCAAGACCTACGAGGTGAGTATACTTGCAAATACAATTTGGGAGAGAGCCTTGAATTGCTAAGCATGTAGGTTTTGGCAGAATTCGAGAGAGATCATATATTGGTTTGACTAATGTGTTCAATTGGTGTTATTAACTGAAGTATGAAACAATAGAAAGAATATAGGTTTTAGAGGCAGATTGAACTATTGAAACCTGGTCTGAACACGTTGATGTTCAGTTTTTCTGAGAAATGATATTTAACCCTTAGACTGCCTTAAAGATTGAAGATCAGGTATGTAAAGCATCTAGAATAGGGCTTGGCCCTTATCAGATGCTTACTAAATAGTATCTCAGTAAGAGACTAAGAAAATATAGTGAAATTGTGTTCTAAGTTTGCTTTTGTAGTAAGTATTCTGTGAGGAGGCCAGGGGGTGCTGAAGGGGAGATGGAGAGTTGGTGAGAGGAGCCCATGATATGTGGGCAGAATCATCCCATCAGGACTCTCATGTATGCCTCTGAGCAGAAATGATGAGCAGAATGTAAGTGAATCTAATTTGAGATAATGAGACTGTTAGCATCAAACTGACAGAGGGAATAAAGACTACTCATAAATTCTGGGAGGAGTGGCCCCAGAAGTAAGGGAACTCACTTAGGTGTGAGGAAGCTGGGCACACTGACCTGTGGTCATTAGTAAGGGTTTGTTTGGCATAAGGATGCCCTCCCTCAGTGCTCTCCAGCTAACTTTTAGAGACTGTTTGAAGTTCCACGGCACAGATGATTATTTTGGGTTGTTGGAAAAGTCATGACGTATTTTTTTTTCTGTTTTTCAAAGGTAATTTATTTATATAAAGGACAAAGATCAATCAATGATATATTGCCCGTTTTGTCTAATAACCTTTTGCCATCTTTCAGTGAGCTTCATAATTCCTCATTCACAGAAGAATCAGTTATCGGTGAAAAATTGAACAAGGTACTAATTTACAGCCTCATCTGAACTGAAGGTTATGCCACATAAGGAGTTTCAAAGAAAGCAAAACAAGTGGAAGTCTGACAGCGGAAAGTCAGGCAAATACAGTGTCTGTGGCAACACATTCAACCCAAGTTCCAATAATTTTTGGTGGATGGTCAAACTTGTGAGTGGTCTCGCGTTGTCGTGATGGAACACAACTATATGATCAACGAGCTCTGGATGTTTCTGGATGATGGATTCATCCACACTGTCCAACTGCCAAAAGTATACATTTGAATTGATTGCTTGATTCCTTGGTAGGAGCTTGAAAAACATGACACCTTTAAAATCCCACCACACTGACAGCATACTCTTCCTCTGATGAACATGCTTTCGGTGTCGTTTGAGGTGAATGATCACGTCGGCACCAAGACCGTTTGTGCACCACATTGTTATAAACAATCCACTTCTCATCACTAGTTATCAGTCACTTCAAAAAAAGGATCATTTCCTCATGTTCAATGAGTATACCGCAGCTGTTTATGTGCACGGTCAAATGCACGGCTACCTGTGCAGGGAGCTGAGCCAGAGAGCCCATCTGCATTGGACCAGCACCATCTGGGGGACAGGGAGGCTGCTCCTCCATTACCCCATGGGCAGCGAGAAGCACTACTGGCATCATGTGGCCTCTTCTGTGAACTGTGTAGGCCTGGAGGCTTTTGGACTACTCAAGTTGCTGCAGGGAGTGAAGTGAAGTGCCTGCTACTCTGGCATGTGAGTATTCAAACCAAGTTTTAGCTTGACAGGAAAATCTAAATATGCAACTATGCAGGTGCTCAATATTTGAGTAATAGACTTTGTCTTGAAAAAAAAAAAAAAACCCCACATTTATTATCATAAACACAATACTTAGAAACGTTTTTTCCTGTCATGCCAGCAGGTGGCATGGAGGTTAAGGTGCACATTGCCGACAGCAGTTTGAGTCTCAGACATGGTAGCTTGAAAGTTACGCCGGATGCATGTACAAGAGTGCCCCAAATCCCAAGAAGAGACTGGAGGAGAAAGGGGTTGTGGTGTGGCCATCTCCCCTGGAAACGAATTTTTTCACTTTCTCTTTTTCTCTGTCTCTCCAGGGAGTGCACGCCCCTATGGCAAAATAAAAACATCCTTTTTTCTTTATTCACTCTATAGTGCATACCACATTGTTGGGCATGTGTACGCACGAGAAAAAAAGAGAGAGAGAGAGAAAGAGAGAGAGAGAGAGAGAGCGCCCTCCACAGGGTGTGGTTATACCCTGATCCCCTTCCTCAATCCCTCCAGCCTATAGGATCTTCAGTACTCATGCATGTGTCCGGCATGTTTTGGGTTGACCTGGCTGAGGATTTGAACCATGGTCCCTTAAGAGATCTGACTTCTCTTGAGTACTGCATTACTACTGTGCCACAGAGCTGACCCAGCAGATTGCTTTCTTTGCAAGAGCTTTAAACCCTTTTTAGGATAAGCATTTTAAATCACTAGTGAGTAGCTTCTTGGAAGATTTAATCCCCCTCTCCCCGCTCCTGGTACCCCCCTCACTTACCCTGCAGTACTGCATGCACTTTCCATCAGAGAAAGTTCTAAGGCTTGGATAGCCAGTTCATTAGGTGCTGTCATTCCTTTATGAAGATGCCAGTTCAGCATAAGTGCCAGCTCTGTCTCTGGGTGGTTGTTTAATACGGAACGCAAAGCGTCTCCTATTGATAAACGCTTCAGGCCATACTCGCTTGCAATTTTTCTGGCAACTGAAAAATATAAAACTTTAAGCACATCTCTCATTTCATAAATTTACCAGTTAACCTTAGTTTCCGATTCTGGTTAATGACAGCAACAGCCAGCTAGTTTTCACATTTCCTTAAAGGAACTTCAAAAATTAAGATTGCTACATTTTATTGAAGTAATAACTGTCAAAGATCAGTCATTGGTAGTGCTTCAGGTATGTGGCTGATGGTACAAAAATGAGCTAGCTCTTCTTTTTTTTAATAAACAAAGCCAATGTCAGGCGTGGTGGCGCCCGCCCTATGGCAATAAACAAAGCCAATGTTTAAGTGTTTTTCTTCCTTTTTATTTAACATTTTTATTTGTTTTTGTTATTGTTATTTTTTAATTTAACCAGAGAGAGACAGAGAAAGGTAAAGTGAGAAAGCAAGGTACCAGGTCCAGGGACCTGTGGCTGACCATGTGGGAGTCCAGTACTTTAACCACTATACCACCTGCTGGCCCCTGATGTTTTTTCTTTTTTTCTTGTTTTTTTTTTTTTTTTTTTTTTTTTTTCTGTATGAGTAGCAAAATGTTTGTGCAAGCTTTGCAATGTGTTCTATATGTTTTCTTCCTTTTTCTTTCTTCCTTTCTCTCTCTCTTTCTTTCCTTTTTAAAGAGATTTTTGCCTTAGGGTGTGTGCTCTGACTGGAGAGAGAGAGAGAGACAGTGAGAGGGAAAGTGAGAAATCAGCCCCTTGGGGGACATGGGTGGGCTGCAATCCCTTCACCTCCATTCTCCTCCCAAGATCTTGAGCATACTCGCCCACGTTCCCCATGTGATTTTCAAGTCACTGGGCCTGGGACTTGAACCATTGTGGCTATGTGGGAATCCAGCGACATAACTGCCACAACATCTGCTGGCACCCCCATACATAGTCTTAATATTTAGTGTTTCATCCAAATAGTACCTGCTTTACTGGTTTGTACCCTTGCCCTCTCTGTTCATTTACGCACTCCAGGCTGCAATCAGGATGCATACCTTAGACAATTAGGACTCAGTCAATCCTCTAGGAGATAATTTTAAAAAATTATAATGGCACGTCTGACATTTTGAAAGTGATTTATAGCTGATAAGGTGATTTTTCCTCTGTGACCTTATTTGATATTTTCAGTTGTTCCATCAGATGTATGGATGAAATTCCAATTTGTTTGTTTGTTTGTTTGCAGAGGGTGCCTGTGATTGCCAGATTGAGGCAGAGAGAGAGCAAGAGGGAGAAAACATTCCCCAGTGGAGAGCAATCCTTTCTCCACCATTTCTCCACCTCGTTGAGATTCTGGGCATGCATGCACATGTGCCTGCTGTGTTTTTCAAACCACCAGAGCTGGGATTTGAACCATGCAGTCAGTCATGGGGATCCAGCTCTTTAACCATCAGGCTATAAGGCTGGCCCTGTAATTTTGTAGATGAGGAGAACTTAAGCCCACTAGGAAAGAAGGACTTGTCCAAGGTCACACAGAGGTGTGATTATTAGGTGTAGGGATGCTTGCCGTGGCCTGTCTGGAGACAGCAGTCAGTGAGCACAGGGAGAGAGCCTGTCTCACGCCTTCAGGAATGAGCATTAACAGACCAGGTACCACAGGCGGGACCACCTCCAAAGCAAGCCCTTGCAAGAGCCACAAGGCCCTTAATCTCAGCTTTGTCACAAATGCTGGAGCCAGACTTTGGTTTTGTTTTTTTTTTTAATTCTAATTATATTTAAACTTTCAAAATTAAACATCTTGTTTAAAAATTAATGTCTATTTCAGCGAAGAAATGAGAAATCAGATCATCCTGACTACATTTTTACCTTTTGCTCCAGATGTGGGATCTTATTTTGAATGCCAGTGTTTTACTGTCTTTGAGAAATACCATTATTTTTGTGAACATTTAGAATATAACTATAATGGGATCTTGTGCTGAAAAGTTTAAATGGGCAAAATCAACTTTCCATCAGAAGATCTGGAACACAAACTCTCGGGAACCAGCAGTTAGCGGAATGGCTATGTCGCTGGGCTCTCATGTAGTCAACTGCGGTTCGCGTCCCGGACCCGGTGGCTTAAAACTCACACCGAGCGCGTGTGCGTGTGTGCCCAAGATCCCAAGAGGAGAATGGAGGAGAAGGGATTGCGGCGTGACCATCCCCCCTGGGGGGTGATTTCTCGCTTTCTGTCTCTGTCTCTCTCTGTCTGTCTGGCGAGCACACGCGCCCTATAGTGAAAAAAAAAACCAAAACTCCCTTTATAATTCCTGTTGACAAATTAATATTTAACCTTGTCTCTCTCCTTCATTCTCTACTCAGTCAGTTATTACAACTTACTGTCTTCCTTTGAAATATATCCTATATCTCTCCTTTCTGTTCTACTCTCATTGGGGCCAAGCATTACTTATGATGTTATCATGTCATCTTGAACTACTACCACCAAAAAGCCTTGGGACTATTGGCCTATAGTCACACAAACACACACACACACACACACACACACACACAAAACTACAGTCCAAAAATTCAAACATTATGGAATATAGTTTATGAAATGCCTTTTCTAGCAATAATAATTGATTTTTACTTTTAAACTACTTTTTAAAGAATTATTTATTTAACTTTATTTACTACTATTATTATTTTTTTAATTTGCTACAGGGCCCATGTGCTCACAAGGGACAGACAGAGAAGGAGAGAGAGAGGGAAAGTGAGAAAACAAGCCTCCAGGTCTGAGACTTGAACCATCGTCAGTCATAT